TATTATTATTTTAAGATCATCATCAGAGGGGAGACATTGAATCGCTGATGGGGATATATCTAATTGTGCCAAAGTATGAGAACCAGCTGAGATATTGAGGCTGATTTACTAAAGGAGTTGAAAATTCTTCCCATCATAAATTGTGTGAATATTCGTTTCAATTATCCAGTCATGTGCAGATGAAATAAGAATAAGTATAACAGGAATTTGCTTTTTGCAGATGGTTGGATAATAAGAGGGAATATTCTCATAATTTGTGTCTCCACTCATGTAGTAAATCGGCCTTCGCACATTTTAGTTGCCCCCAACAGCTAATCAAGATCCATCAGTCGGTGTGACTTTCCATAGGAGGTGTAAGCAGCAATTTGGTTGCTATGAGTAGCAGCTCCCCCTTTTATATCATACAGCAGCCCCCCAGTAACAGTATCTGTGTGCAGGAATTGCTGTATTGCCTCTATAGCTGCAGATGTTGTAGCACTACATTATCCAGCATAGCATGCTAGAATTGTCAGCATGACACCTCTTCTAGTACCTTATCACAGATCTGCTCACCAGTTTATATAGAGGAGTGTAGATGGCTCATTATCCCATTACATATAATTGGAGCAGATTATGATTTTCTGTTGGATCCCTGCTTGTCAATCTCCCCAGCGCTTGTATGAACTCGCAAAGTGCCCTCTGGCAGCGATGAGGTTAACTGTTAATAGGCCTAGCCATCATTTCCTTCATAATGATATCATTAGGAAAAAGGCTGCATGGGGAGATAGAAATCATAATTACATGGCACATGGCTATGGGGGCACTTGGTGGATGACACTCAGAAGGAGGATGGTGATGACAGAGCAGCTGTCACTAAATGCCATCAGAGTCAGGATCAGGCAGGGCATGCTGGGAATTGTAGTTCCAAAACATGAAAGACACTGCTTGCCAAGACCTGCAATAAATCGACACAATTCATTACAGATAAAACAGTTTATTTGCTGAGAGAATAGAGACACTTAACAAAATATATGTGCATTTAGTTAAAGCCCAACCCCGGGTCTCCCCTCTTAATCCCTATTGTTCCCCTTCTCCTTTGTACCCCCTAGCCCTGTAATTTTTGCTTCTCGTTTTCTTATGCTCACCTTTTTTAGATGTCTTTGGGACAGTCCTTAATGATGCAGAGAGCTGCAGTACTGGATGGGAAAACCCACGACACACTGCTGATTTGACTGGAATTCTTATTTGTGTATCACTCGGCTGTAGATCCTCAAATAATCTCTGAATTGGTGCTGACACTGTCCTTCCTTCTGGAGGGGGGAGGGGCTACTTTTGTTCCTCGTGGTCCCTGTGTGTGTGGTAAATTAGTCACCTCTCAAAACTCCCTCCCATGATGGACTACAATCTCATGTTTAGTTTACTAATTTGTATTGAGATTGTAGTCCATCACACGACCGAGCTTGGAGCGGTGACTACTTTACAATACATACAGGGACCATGGGAACAAAAGTAGCCACCCTCCAGAAGGAAGGATACTGTCAGCACCAATTCAGAGATGATTTGAGGATTTAATTTTCCTATGAGATATATATTTTGCACCAAGCCATTCATCTTTAGTATGAAGATCCCAATATACAGTAGGTATACCTCTGACAGACACCAGTCTTCAAAATAAAGAGCCCTATATACCTCTAACAGGCACCCAAGTCTTCTTCAGGATAAAGGTCTCTAGATAGGAATACCTCTCACAGGCACCCTATCCTTCTTCTTCTTCAGAATAAAGGTTCCATATAGGCATGCCTCTGACACATAAAATGCATATATGTACTGTCTATCACTGACAGGCACCTTTTTCTGGTTCAGGATCAAGGTCCCTAGCTAGGTATCTCTGACAGGCGCCCAGACTTCTTCAGGTGGTCTTAGATAGGAACGCCTCTGGCAGGCTTGCCAGTCTACATAATAAAGCTCCCTATAGGTATACCCCCAATAGGCACCCAAGTCTTCTGGATAAAGGTCTCTAGATAGGTATGTGTCTGAAAGGCACTCAGTCTTCTTTAGGATAACGGTCCTATATATTTATCCCTCTGACAGGCACAAGGTGTTCTTCAGGATAGAGGTCCTAGATAAGATAAGCACTCAGTCCTACATATACCTTTGACAGGCACCCCAGTATTCTTCAAAAATAAAGTCCCAGATATTTATACATCATTCTGATGATTGACAAGCACCCTTCTTCAGGACAAAGATCCTAGATGGCTATGCTTCTGACAAGTACCCAGTCTTCTTCAGGATAAAAGTACATAGGTCCTTCTGCAAAGGACCCAGTTATATTTAGGTTAAAGATTTGTAAATAGGTATACTTCTGACAGGCAC